ACTCTTGTGACGAGCCGATTGACAGATGATGGAAGCAGTTAGCTTCCTCCCATAATTGGGGCTTACCAGGGGTTGTGACACTAATATATATATATCTTTATGATGAAGGTCCTTTGTTAAAGGTTATAGACCATATTCTATTTTGCTAGCCCCAAATAAATAAGTATTTTTCAACTTTTCAATCTAGGGTTGAAAGAAGGAGAATTATTGGCCCAAAATCACCCAGCTGCCTTCCATGCCTATAAGAACTGGGTTCCCTATTCCCTTACCTACTATATTACACTAGCCTGTCACAGATATAGGCATATGCATATGCTATACATTTCTATAGGAATAACTCCAGTTTTTCAAAATTATTGAATCTGGGAAATGTTCATACTTCTCTGTATAAAAAATCCAATACTCTTTCAAGTTTCTTTATGCTGTTGAGGCGGGAAATATCCTGTTCAAAATAAAGCAATTTATATGAGAAAATGTTCAACAATGCTACTTTTTTCACTCCAAATCAAACATTTGAAAATAATATATTCCTCTGGTATATGTCCACCAGGATGGAAAGGAATCTCAAGTAAACATGTCTTGAAAACAGTGGGAATCCTCCATTTCTTAATTTAATCAATACAAAGATGGTTATGGATTAACCGTCTCCTTTCCTACATTAAATAATTTATATTCAATAATTTTAGAACTAAACCCTAATTCTAACTGGGGCATATATTTTTTACAGGTACTCTGTTCGATTTTTCTTGTGCTAAAATCATCATATTTTGAACATATTTTTAATCTGTATTTGTGAAGACAAAAACTGTATACCTTTTCCAAGGCTTGTTATTGAGTTTACATAATGTCCTGTGAAGTCTTACTTGTTAAATTAGGCAGAGGGACAATCTATTCACGATTTGGCACATTTTTTAAAAATTAAAAATGTACTTTAGAGGCCATGACAACAATGCAATGAGAACATCAGAAGTGGAACAAATGAAATAGCATGAAAGAATTTAGGGGCTAAGTAGGCATAAGTTTAAATATATTTTATATATTATTTATACATCCTTATTCATTTTTTTGAAATTAAAAACCCAAATATACTGCTGAAAATCATTTGTTGCTGAATTTCAACATTGTGATATCAGTGCTAGTTACCTGCTACTTTCTCAGACTGCAAGGATAAACAAAATTACTTTTCTTATTTACCTGGGAGTCAGAGTTGTGCGAAGAACACAGGTGAAAAACTGTGATTAGCTTCCAGTCATGTTGATAGTCAAACAACTAAGGGGAAAGAACACAACCCATCACAAGGAAGCTGAAGAGGTTAAAGGGAACAGCTGATACACTTGTCCTTAATATTTCCGAATGGCCAGATTACAATAATGGTACTAAGCAGTGTGTTTCATTTTTAAACATATTTTATTCCCACTATTATTATTTTAATAAATAAATGAACATGGTGAACATACCTAATACTCTTTCTTCCAACTATTTTTTCATCATAGTATGAACTTTGTAAAAATAGCACCTGTTTAAATGTTAGGAAAAAAACTATAATCTGAAAGTCAATGGAGATTCTCAGTTATTATTATTGTCCCAAAGGTGCTTTTTCAAGAGGCAAATGGACTTTCTGGTTTTCTTTGAAGAAGTTTTGCTTCTTACCCAGAACTGATGAAGCTTCTTGATAAGAAGCAAAACATCTTCAAAGAAAAAACAGAAAGTCGAATTCCCCCTTGAAAAGGCATCTTTGGGACTCTAATCTAAAAGTTCCTGTCATGAAAAAAGTTGAATGATGCCTAGATAAGAAGGAAGTGTCTACAGTAGAGTTTCTCATAAAAAAATGCTTCTATGATATGAATGGCTTCCATCAAGCTAAAGGTCTTCAGAATTCCCCATCATTTGAGGACTAGATGTTAATATATATGATTCCATTTTTTTATCCTAGTACATTTTAGGTAAATAAAGCTGGCCTTTTAAAAAATTAGAAAAATTTTCAGAATTAAAAGGAAAAATATGAATGTGTCCCCTAGTTCCATAAGACCAAGAGTTAAATGCTGCTTTTTTGTATAAATATATTAATTTTTAAGGTTTTACCATCATAATATAAGCAAGACAAAGCAAAAGACAACAGAATATTATTATAAACTTAACTGGTGGTTTTCTATATCTTTGTGTCTTTAGCATTTTGGTGTCCTAACTCGAACTTAAAATGCCAGTGCCTCCACCCAGAGACTCCAAAGCAGAATTTCAAGTTACAATTAATTAGGGTTGATCCTATCACACCAGTGTGATATGAGAAACCAACAAATGTTGGTAGAACCATTGCCTGAATGCACAGGAAAGACGTGTTGGCTCTAATAGATGTATATGCTACAAGGATAAAAATACTTTTAGTCAACATTGAATATTCAAGAGACAATACAGTAAATATAAGCAGATTACATGTTACAATATATATACATACCTGGATCTTTCTCATGCTCTCTACAAGTTCTTTTGCTTGATCCAAAAGATCACTGTGTCACAAAACAAAGAGAGAAATGGGTAAGCAGGTAAATATTATTTCTTTGCAGTCAGAAAGATGAATTTTAATCTAGAGAATCCAGGCTATTTCAAAGTACCAAATGGCCCTTTCTTAAGTGATGTTTTCAGAAGCCAAGAGAAGAAAGAATGAGTAGAGTGTTCAGTGTTTAGAAAGTCTAAAGGACTTTTACAAAAGGGGATTTTTTTTTATTTTTTGCCAAATCACAAATTATGGTCACGTGACTGTGGGACTCTGCAACCAGTCAAAAATGTGAGCCAGTTGCCAAGCTTCTGAAAAGTGGTAAATGGATGGGTGGGACCAACAGCATGATATTTGATAACAGTCAGAAATGCTTTAAAGCACTTTTCCTAGGTGATTGTAACTTCAAACAGTTGCTAAATGATTAGTTGTAATCAAGGGCTATCTGGACAATTTCTTTTTTATTAACAGTCCTGGTTATTTTTTAAAAAAAGGTTGTTCTTAGCATCTTAATGACTTTAACCACTTCTTTGTTTTTCCCTATTTAATTAGCTTCCCTATAAATTATTTTTTAATATAGAATGCTTCTGATAATTTTCCAAAAGAAAAGCAAGCAAAAGCATTACAGAGAAATGCAGCAAGCAAATAAATAGGTAATGACTCCAATTTCAAAAATATGTCCTTCATTTCCTGCGTAATTTTCATCTACAGCATCATTCATCAATGAAACAATCACACCAGGTGAACAAGAGGCAGCCCACTACATAAAACATGAACTTACATAGTTCCATTTCTTGATAAAACCTCACTGTTTCCCAAAGGAGAGTAATATTGCACAGAAGGATTGTACATCCTAATAAGAGCTGAAAGACATAAACTTGGTTCAGTTTATTCATAGGCTCTGGAACTGCTTGTGCACACGTGACAATAAAACCATTTGGCAACAAATTACGGAACCGTTTGTTTAAAAAAAGGATACAGAAGAAAAACTAGAATGGGAATTTTATCATGGCTAGTGATAATTGTAATATAATGAAGTAACATTTCCTTTGAGTTGAACTTAACCCTGAAGACTTCACTGCCCCTACAATGTCATTTTCCATGAAACTATTCTGGAAATAGTTTGTCATGGTTTTCTTCTTAATTTGCAACCCTATAATTTTCAAATCACCTCTCATTTTAGTACTAACCAAATTTAACTAAGCATAGCTTTTTGAGATTGCTAAGAATGAGATTTATATTATTTAATGATGCTAAAGGGATGTACAATAGACAAAATAAATATAATTGCTTCATATTCACAGTGCAAATTAATGCTTCTTCGTCATATTAAAGAAAAGCGGATGACATCTAACTGTATTTTGGGCACAATTTTTCAGTAGGAGGAGTTGCTGAAAGTTGAGTTCACCAATAGCTAAAGGGCCAAAGTTTCCCTATTCTTAAATTCAACCAAGAAATGGTGGAATATATAATGAATTGACAGACAATGCAAAACTGGGGATGGGGTAGTAGTGTGTGGTTCATCAGCACTTTCAAGGATATAAATGAACATTTTAATGAATTTGACAGAAGGTAAAGGTGAGCAAAAATTAATAAAATAAAAACAAGTTTTATGTGGGAAAATTAAAAGATACAAACAAATTCAGCCTGGAGAAAAAGAAGACTTAATGGAGGATAATGTCAGGTGTGAAAGATCAGGTCATACTTGAAGGTCCAATGAAACTGATTTAATGCTTATCAAATTTATGCACCAGAATCTTCTCAACAAACAGGACACACTTGCTTGGATTTAAATAAGGAGGGTCAAGGGAGGTTGGACTTAGTTTGCTTGTGGATTCTAAGCTGACCCCTCTTTTAACTCTGGCCTCAGGTTCTGCCACTCCTTCTGCAGATATCATGGGATGCTTCTTATATCCCTTCAAATGTCACTTAAAGACTTGTTTTCCATGACCCCTGATATCAGGACTGGATCAAATGAGCTTAACATAGAAAGTACACTTCAGTAAAACTATTTCTCTAGGGAGACTATGTCTGGAAACAAAGGCTAGAAAGAGATTTGTTTGACGTGCTCAAGCTGAGGCTCTCAGCCTTTTCCATTATATGATCTATTCATTGTCATCAAAAGCTTCTACAAACCACCACACAAATAATGGTAAACATTTAAGGTTTCATATCCAATTATTTCTGTTTGGATCCCCACCCTTTAGCCGCACATTTGCAATTAAATTCACAGAATATTATACCACACAATAAACTGCACCACAATTAATCTAACTGAGTATAATGTAAAAGTAGTGCATGGGATTTATATTATTATTGCATTGTTATTTTGCTTCCAACAGACCATCTTCAATATGCTCATGGATCATAATTGAATTATTGGTCAAGTTCTAAATTTTCTGCGCACAATAAAGGGTTATATCAGGGCTGTCTAACTCCCAGCCATGCCCAGTTTAGCAAAGTGGGGGGGGGGGAGTCCTGATATGTTATGTGACGCAGCTGTGATGATGTGAGTTTGACACCCCTGGATTAGATTATCAACAAGACTGGCATCAGCTTTAACTATCTAATATCACAAGACTAAACAAGATCAAGGTTAAACAAGGAGGGAAAACCATTTCTCTTTGCGGCTAAACAATGAGAACCATTTCCCTTCTTCAAATTTTCTAATCATTGAGTAACAAAATAATTCTAAGAATTTAAGACATACCTGTAAGTATTCTCATGCTTCCCTGAATAAAGTCTTGTTCTGAGCTACAAATAGAAATATCAATTAATTATTCCTTCATACAGAATAATGGATCCCGGGTATATTAGCTTCGTATTAGGCCTTGCCTTTTTCCCACCACCCCCATTTAATGTCTATATTTATGTTGTGGGGTGTTTAGGAAAGAATTATATTTCCTAAAAGGGATTATTGTTGAGTCTAGCAATCATCTATTTTTCTTCTACTATTAAAATCTTAACTGCTGTTATTCAATGTAGGAGGACAAATTGAATGCTACATAGAATATGTCAGATAACCTTAACCTTTTGATCATCCAATGTGCTATCTGGATGGGAAAATGTAACTTCCAATGAAAGGTCAGAGAAATTCTTGCTGTCGGGTTTCAGATTTAAGCACATATGCTCTTTTCGGAGATTATCAGTTTTACTTTCAGGGGACAGAGTTATCAAAGAAGTAAAAAAGTATCAACAAAGCAAAATTTGTTTTGAAACAGGATCATTCAGAAGAATCCTTTAAAATTGAGTCCAAGTTTCAAAGCTCTTTGTCAAGGTTGTTGGCCCCTCTGAGGGTCAGAAATTCAAGAACAGGATACAAGCCAGAAGTGAGACATTGCTTCCAATGAAGAGAAGAGAGGCAGAGCAGATTCTTACATAAGCTGCATCTAGCTGTCACAAAAGTCTACTTCTTTGTTTGATAAGAAGCCTAATAGACTTTTGGTGTTCTGCTCTCCTCTCAAAACATCAGGTCTATCCAGCTGCTCAAATATTGCCTGTGTTTGATCAGCCTCATGTGATTCCTTCTGAGGCTGACATACCACACGTTCAGTTGGAACTCAAGAATCTGAATCCTGAACCTGGGCCATGGCACCTCTTTTCCTACTAATTAATCTACTTAGGAGTGGTGGTAAATTTCATTTTTTTAAAAACCATTATCGAAAATAAATCCAATATGCCAATGTATCTAATCCAATATGCATTACTGCCCCTGTTGAGTATTGAGACAGAAATGAATATTATCCTAATATCTAAGTTCCAATATCTCCGGGGTTGCCACAAAGAAGAGGGAGTCAAACTATTCTCCAAAGCACCTGAAAGTAGAACAAGAAGCAATGGGTGGAAACTAATCAAGGAGAGAAGCAATTTAGAGAAATTTCCTGACAGTTAGAACAATTAATCAGTGGAACAGCTTGCCTCCAGAAGTTGTGAATGCTCCAACACTGGAAGTCTTTAAGAAGATGTTGAATAATCATTTGTCTGAAGTGGTATAGGGTTTCCTGCCTAAGCAGGGAGCTGGGCTAGAAGACCTCCAAGGTCCCTTCCAACTCTATTATTCTGTTCTGTTCTGTTCTGTTCTAGTCCATTCCATTCTATTCTATTCTATTCTAATATTATGGTATATATTTGACTATTTAGATATCCTCTATTGGAAGAGCTCACCAGCTGGACTGATCATATATTTGCTCCATTACTGGGCCTGTAGAAAGTGTTGATGGCCTCTCCTGTTGTAATATTGTGTTTCGTCTATACCGATTCCTGCCTCAGGCAGATTTTTTCCATTATTATTAAAAGAAAGATCTGGAACTCAGCAGAGCACATGAATGGAAAATAACATATCGCCAGAACCTAGCAAAAGGTACTACCTTTGGAAAATGCCTCCTTCCTCCTTTCCAGAATCTCCCACCTGGAAATAAAGACAAAAAGGAAGATGACAACATTTGTTTTAACTATTACCAGGAAAGAAAAGGTGAGGAAAAGGAGAGAGACCTGGGTTCCCAAGTCTACAGTTGAAGGAGAATTCAATGATGGCAATAAATTCTGTTCCTGGTCCTCTACTGTGATCTGTAACCCCAAGAACACAAATGAAGAACAAAAAGAAGGCAAAATAAGTTACGTAAAAGAGAATGCAAATTTGCATCAGAAGAACTGCTGAGATGAAGGAACAAAAGTTGGTTCCTACATTTTTTTTTAAAGCTTAATGAAGAGACTTTGTATTGAATAGGAAAATTAAAGCAGAATACATACCAGATGGTGGAGTTAAGATTTTCTACCACTTTAGTACATGACAATATTACAGAAAAAGATAATGCCTGAAAAAAGGAAAGCATGGGAGAAAGGCAGGAAGTTTTATAAATCCATTTAGATAAACAGAACTTGAGATGTCATTAATTCACTAAAGAAAAAACTATCAGATTTATAGGTAGAGAAAAGTTAGGAATGTTGCAGATCAAGTAGTTGGTAAGAGGAGGAGGAGGAGCAGGAGCAGGAGCCAACTCATAAGTTGGCAACTTTGCTTTGATTCAATTGATTAGCAGGTTTTCTATCTGGTTAAAGACTGCTGTACTTCTGCACAATCCCTTTTCCAGAAAATTCACTGCTATACTCACATTTCCCAAACTTCCTATAGCAACAGCTACTTGAATGTCTGATGGTCGCAGTGTGTGAGCTGAAGAAATAAAGCATAGGCTATCAGTTAACCAAGTATGACAGTAGTTTTCATTATCTCTATATAAAATTAAAATAAAAGCAAATCCAAAACATTACAATTACTTTTACACAAGCATATTGCTTTATTCCAAAAGTAGATATATCAGTGGTGGGATTCAAACATTTTTACTACCGGAACTGTGTGCATGGCTTGCTGGGCATGGCATGGCTTCATGGGTGTGGCTTGGTAGACATGGCAGGGGAAGGATATTATAAAATCTCTGTTCCCTCCCCATTCCAGAAGAAAATCCCCATTTCTGCCCTATCAGCTGGGAATTGAGAGGCAGTGAATAGATGAGGGCGGGGCCAGGCAGAGGTGGTATTTACCAGTTCTCTGAGCTACTCAAAATTTCCACTACCCGTTCTCCAAAATTGATCAGAACCTGCTGAATGTCACCTCTGAGATATATGTACATGTTGTGCTTGTGCACACAGACATTTAAATGTTATGTGCAAAGCAGATAACATTTGAGTGAAATAATTCTAAATAATAAGGGTGAAATATTTTATCCTAATAAAACAAAATATAATTAAGGGATAACAATCCATTATTTCATTCATTTTCATTTGGTCTGAACTGTATTTTTCCCCTGGTGATTTATCTAGGACTTGGATGGCATAAGTAACCTGACTGCCACATTCTTATGCTCAATAAGATAACTTATCTTTTACTTTGAATATGCTCCTTGGGACAAATACCTGAAGATGAAGTTTGATGAGAACTTTGTAACTTGTAGTTCCTTAGAGGCTGCAGGAAAAACAATATAATCGAAAGGACACTCAGTATGCTATAATGGACAATCAGATCCACAACACTAAAATAAGAAAGCTCATCCTCTCTTCCAGGAAATATTTTTTTTATAGACCATGTCACTTAAAACATTAAAAGACTGTTTCTTCAAGGACATGTCAGTACAATGGTTGTCTACATTCTTTATCAAATATAGCAATAGCACTTCTGTACCACTTCATAGTGCTTTAAAGCACTCTCTAAGCAGTTTACAATTGGGGTCCTCATTTTACTGACCTCGGAAGGATGGAAGGTTGAGTCACCCTTGAGCCAGTCAGCATCAAATTTCTTGCAGTGGACAGAGTTAGCCTGCAATATTGCACTTTAACCACTGTGCACCATGGCTTTTTGTCTGCTAGCACAGTGTTCATCATCAATATCCTGATACTTTCCAAATAATTACATTTTTTATGTTTAATGTTTCATTGTTTATTTTACAAGGGAATTTTTGGGCTTTTACCTTCTAATCCATGTTTTGTTTATACTAATGTGTTCTGGTACCAGACAGCCTGTAGTAATTTTAACCACCCTTTAGAACAGTTTGGAGACCCCTTGGGGAAAAAATAAATTCTGAAGTCTTAAAATCAGAATCCATAGTTGCCTATTCAATGTGGTGACCTTTGTTAAGTATTCAAGAACAGTTGCAGCATGGAGTTGATATTCTAAGCACAGTGAAGATTCTGATTCTCTTCACTAATCAAGATCTGATAGTGGAGCCAGTGGTGGGATTCAAATAATTTAACAACCAGTTCTCTGCCCTAATGGTTTCTTCCAACAACAAGTTCACCAAACTGTTCAGAAAGTTAACAACCAGTTCTCCCAAAGTGGTGCGAACTGGCTGAATCCCACCACTAATTGAAGCTTAGATAGACGAGGTCCACCTAAACCACTTTGATATCTCAGATGAGAAAAACATTGTGATTCTCTTGATTTCATATACTAAGCTAGTTGGACTAGCAACTGTATCTTTCTTTAGCACAGAGAGCTGGCTATTAATTAAACAAAGCAGGGTAACCAGAAAATTCAGAACCAAATATGAACAACATCCTTCCCCATTGCCTCCCATTTTTTTTATTTACTCTACATAATGATGCACCTCCTTTGAGTGGGAAAAACTGTGGTATATGTACCTACTTTACAAGCCTGAATTAGATTGTCTGCTTAATTAGTAGAGGCTAATAAATAGGAATTAATTCATCTGCTGAGCCAGTCAAATTCAATTACTAAAAAAATAGAGGCCTGAGTACATTGTCTTTTCTAGCTTTATTTCTGTGCTCAAAAATAGCCACATCTGAATGACAGATCATGTTTGAGTGATGTTACAAATCCCTTTTCATCTTGCAATTGTACAAAAACAATAACTTACGTCCAGTTCAATTTCTTCTTTCATTTTATCCTTGGTTGTCAGAATATGAGCTGCAGTCACTTCAAGAAAAAAGATACTTGTTTGTTTAATTTATTTCCTAGTTCCAGCAACTTTCTTTTGATTCATAGTGATTGAGTCATATGATTGCTTTGTGTTTGTAAATGTTCAGCTTCTACACAAATAACAGGACAGGTTTCAATAGATACACTTGCTAATGATTGGTTTGTGCATTCTTAAAAATGCTTCCAATAACACCATCTAATTAAAATACCAAACATTTACACAAAAAGTATCAATGGAACTTGCATTTGATCTTGTTGCTCTTTCTCGCAGGGGAGGGCACAACTGCACAGAATGTGTAAAAATAGAGGTTGCCCACAACAAACATTTTGAAATTTGATTATTATGAACTTCTCTCAACCTCTTAATTGCAGAACTATATCAAACTTTTAACAGGACTGTGTCTGCCAGTTTTAGTATTTACCCAGTACAATAAAATTAATAATACTTTGAAGAGATACCACATCAGTTTTAATGTAAGTACACAGATGTAGCATTTGATAGTACTGAAACTCAACCAGCCAGAAGGGCTTGCTTTATTTTAGTCAGATGAAAGCTTGCCTGATTTTTCATTCTGCTAATAATGAAGATAAATTAAACAATGCTATGCCCCTGGACATTTTCTGCATTTTATCCCAACACTGGTTGGCGATCCAAAATCATGATGGGGAAAACATCTGTCTTAGGAAGCTACACTTCACAACTATCCCTCCGATGTCCCTACATTTGTCGTCAGCACAAAACACACCTTGGCACTATAATATAAAGTTGCTCCTTTCAAATATATTATCTATTTAACTACCCTAGATTAGTTTTAGTTATGTTTTCTCTGCTTCAGCATGTAAACCATCAGAGATGTTCTTATCAGCCTTGGCTTTCAGATGAGTTGCTGAAATGAGTTGCTCCTTGAACTATGTCTGGAAAAGTTTATAAAGGAAAAATGCCTTACCTAAGAAAAAGGGCAGCCAGAGGAAGAACTTCAGCTTCTTCATGCTTTGCTCCTTTTTGAATGAATGTGGCTGGAAAGGTGTTCACTTTGCTTTACCAAATGATGATTCTGTGGCCAAGAAATTGCCTTCTCTTCTGCCAGCTTTTATAACTTGGTGAGCAGATGACTCAGCTGTCATAAAATGTATTGCCCTTGTCTCATTTGAAAATGCAACTTTAAAAAGCAAAGTGATAAAATATTAACATTTCAATGCCCCGCGGGTAAAAATAAGAGTCTTATGTACTTCGTAATTTCTTAAAGAAAGAATAAAAAGGAGCAATTACTCTTTAAACAAGCAGCCTACGATACTTGGCAATTTCCCATTTTTTATATATGGTTATTATGGGAAATCAGATCGAAGCAGACCTGCTTTCTCAGTGTATGTTTCTTTGGTCATTTGTATTTACAATCTTCTGCTTTATAATGTCACATAATTACAAAACGGAATTACATTTCTATGTCTCCTAAGAATTTAAAAGAAGAGGAAAACCTGTATGATAACTGTAGATACCAAGATACAGATTTCTGTAGATCTACCTGTAGATTTAAAAGGAATGTGATGGCTCAGTTGTTGTAGAAAAAAACAGGACACGCAAGCCAGCTCTTCAGGGAAGGAATAGTTTATTGCGCAGGTCCAGAAACAAAGGCCTGAACCCCAAATGACATCAGGAAATTCCTTTTTATAGTCTGTAACTTTTAGCTAAGCCAACTGCTAGACTTTGGATACACCCCCAAGATGTTCCCTTGAATTACAGTAAAATTATGTCTACAGGAAGTAATAATACATAGTCAGCTAACAGCCAACATAGCATACATTTGAGGAAGTAAATTGTGTCCTTTCAGACAGTTTTTACAGTCAAGCCAGCAGATATATTAAAATGGAGACTTTTGCTACAGCAGCTTTTATGTGCAGACTTCCTAAAAGCGAACATTTGCCATTTCTATATATGAACAGCTAAAGCTTAATATCATGAGACCCTAGTTTGGTTCAGGCTTGAGGCCTACTCTGGTTCAGCCTGCTCTCTCACAGTGGCTAAGATGCTGAGCTTATCGAAACAGAAAGGTCGGCAGTTTGGCGATTCGAATCCCTAGTGCCACATAACGGAGTGAGCTCCTGTTACTTGTCCCAGCTTCTGCCAACCTAGCAGTTCGAAAGCATGTAAAAATGCAAATAGAAAAATTAGGAACCACCTTTGGTGGGAAGGTGACAACATCCATGCGCCTTTGGCATCTAGTCATGCTGGCCACATGGAAACGTCTTCAGACAGTGCTGGCTCTCTGGCTTTGAAACAGAGATGAGCACTGCCTGCTAGAATCAAGAATGACTAGCACATATGTGCGAGTGGAACCTTTATCTATAGATTTACAGCTAATTTCTTGCCAGGTTTGCACTGTTTATATGAATTGTGGATGGAATATAAATTCTTAGACATAGCAACTCCAGATTTCCAGATTAAACCTTGCTTCCTATGTTATCTTCCATGCAATTATTAACTCCCAAGTTTGAGATCAGTCAAAACTGGCTATGTTCTTCCATCTAGAATAGAATAAAATAACAAAGTTGGAAGGGAACTTGAAGGTCTTCTAGTCCAACCCCCTGCTTAGGCAGGAAACCCCACACCACTGCAGACAAATGGATATCCAACATCTTCTTAAAAACATCCAATGTTGGAGCATTCACACTTCTGGAGGCAAGCTGGGAAACAGTTGGTTTTTTTCTGCTTCTCAGAGAAATGATAATAGCTTTGCTCCTTGGGGGTTGCCTTTCCAGTCTTAAATTTAAAAGAGGAGTGGAGATATTTTACAACTACAACATAAAATGAATATTGGTGATATGCATATGTCTTCAGTGTACTAAATAAATGATGTCTAAGTGTAATTATTGCAAACTACAAATCGGTGCAAATGTATCAGCTGTGTGGAACATATGGATAAAAGTATTTCTGTGCTTATTTCTTGTATGCTAAATTGGATTAATAGTCATGGCTGATTTTGTTTCCCAGCCAGATATCATCTTTCAGATTGGAGTATTAGAGAAAATATATGAAGAATTTATATGAACAGATAAGAAAAATATGAAGAATTTATATACAGAAAATACATTAAGTTGAGAAGATAAGATAAAGATTTTGGGGGTAAGCCCTCTTAATAAATTTCCTTTTTAAAAAATTAAGGTACATAAATAATCTCACAAGATCATTTTTTCCTGGATGTAACTGCTCTACAGTTTTCCTTAGTCTGGTAGATGTTGTAAGTATTGGCATTTTCCTATTTTTTACCTCCACCATGAGAGCACAAAACATCTCATGCACACAACAGACATCTACATGTAATACATTTCCCTAAATGCTGGGGCCATTTCTTATAAATCATGATAAAGCAAGACTCACCTGCATTTCCCAGTTGTAGGAAGAGAGTCAATACATTCAGGGGAAGTGGGAAAATAAATAAAGTATTTTACTTATTCAGAGAAAGTAGCTGTTCTTCTTCAACAATTTTTGTCAGGAAATGGGTGCTTTTTAAAGCAAGTGTTTCAAGTTTAGTTACTATACATATTTTAATGTATTAATGGCAATTTTACAAAAGCTTGGCTATTAAAATATTTCATATATGAGAAGAAAATCAAATATATACAAATATGCCAAAGTAGTCAACTTAGTGTTAAGTCCCTTCCTCTTTTTTATATACATTGTGGCTGCCATCTTGACTTTTTAGGCTTTTCTTTACAGAAACCTTGTGAGCAGCTAATTTGGGGCATTATGAGAGGTCAGCAAATTTAATTCATCATTTTTCAGTATTAGTTTTCCTAAGAGTTTCCATTCAACTTTGCTTAAACAACAGTGAAACATCTCCACTAAATTAATTTGTTTACTACTTAACACTCAATGCTTAAGTACAGCTTCTTTTTAATATTCACCTGAGATTTGTATAGGTTCCACTGTATATTTGACAACAGGCAAAGAAAACGTCAGGAGCTGAAGAACACAACAAAAATGGCACAATAATAGTTTGGACATTTCCTACTTCATGGTTTCAAGAAACAGCACTTCTGAGAAAAGAACCTAAGAAATAGGAAAAAAAAATCTAGTAAGGTAATATTTCAAAGCATGGGGTTTAAAGCCTAACAGAATTCGATGACAACATTAGAATGTAGCATCAGCCTTCATAGGGGCTTAAATATAACATAGAGATTGAGCCTTTGCACTTATTCCTTTTAAAAAAGAAAATCCCATTTATTAGAGAGGAGTTACTGTTACAGGTCTTGACTAATGACCACAACTGAGCCCAACATTTCTATTGCTAAGCGAGACATTTGTTAAGTGAGTTTTGCCCCATTGTAGACCTGTCTTGATATAGTTGTTAAGTGAATCATTGCAGCTGTTCAGTTAGTAGCACAGTTGTTAAATGGGCTTCTCAATTGACTTTGCTTATCAGAAGGTTCTCAAAAGGGGATCACATGACCCAGGGACAGTGCAACCGCCATAAGTATGAGTTAGTGCCAAGTGTCTGGATTTTGATCACATGGCCATGGGGATGCTGCAATGGTTCTAAGTATGAAAAAATGGTCATAACTCACTTTTTCCAGTGCCATCATAACTTCGAATGCTTAGGAAACAAACTGTTGTAAGTCGAGGACTACCTGTACTGGACAGAAAAGGCAATCTTATAGTCTTGAAAATATGAATGTAAGTGCTCCAAACCTCAGCGTAGTCTGCAATCTGGAAGCACCTCCTTTTTAACAAAGTCTTTACTGATATTGGTCTTGTGTTCCAATGTCTTCACTCCTCCTGTCCTCACTATTTCTTTCCTTTTTCCATTCATGGACTTAAGGGATTTAGTAGAGTGGGTGAAGAATGAGGGTGGAGGAGATGGCAGCTCCCTCTTGGCTCCCGAGGGCCTATTTTGGCTACTAGAGCAAATGGTGGGGTAGATAAGGGAGCTTCACTCAATACCAGGAGTCTGTTTGCAAGATGAATCTGTTTCTCATCTCGCCAGTTCTTCCCTGACCATCTCTTCCTTCTCTTTTTTTCTTTTCAAAATGTAGCTTAGATGGAATTGAAACTCTCTAGTTCTGTGTATTTCATAATACATTTACTTTATATTTGGAAAATAATGGAGAGACACTATAATGCTGGGACATACTTTGCATCCAAGACAACAATTATCACACACTTTTTCCTACTTATAAAGAAAGTACTGTTCCTTAATTACTCACTACTCTTTTAGCACTCCATATATGCTCCATTCTCATTTCTGACAATCAAGAAAGCCAAGAAACCAAAAGGAAAACAGGGTTAAAAATACGTCATATTAAAACATCAAACAGTTCTTGCGACCCTGTAAATTTAATTATAGGTCTAGTAAAGAGGTACCCAGTTGGAATAGTCCTCTGATGGGAATCAAGAACAGCCAAATCCAGCTGAATACTGAATTCAGTGTCAAACTCCTTTGGGGAAAAAATCATTGGATGACCAAAGAAAGGCAGGAATCTCTCCAAAGACATCTGAACAAAATCTGGGTTTCTCCAGTGCCTCAGGGGTGTTTTGAAATGTTATAGGGCTACACAACACATACCTTGTAAAGCATTCGTTCAAGTAAAAGTAGATTCATCTCCTTCCTCTCCTCATCACAATCATCTATTGGCTTTCAGACGTAACACTCCAGAGCCTTGGCACACTGTTTTTAAATCTACCATCCAAACAAGGGGGAAACATGCAATGTTAAAACTGCCATTTTAGGGTTGTGTTTTCACAGCACAAATCAAAGAGATGTTGTGGATGCCAAAAAGTCCTGGGAGACTGCCGCTTGCTCACCCTAGTTCAGTAGATGGAACAGTCTGTAAAATAAGTTCAAAGGTTGACATTCCCTCTCCATAACTCTCTCTTTCTTCCTCCCAGTTGGTTTTCAAAGCAGTAAATAATGGTAACCGTGTTGTGCTACAATGACACAAGCGCTGGTATTTTTGCATGTGCTTCATAATGTCACTCAAACAGGGAGGGGCTTGCATCACAACAGCACGACTCTGCTTTTGTCAGTTTAACAAAT